AAATATGTCAACAAACTTCAGAAACCCAGAGTCAAAGAGACTCACGAGAAAAAAAAAAAAAAAATCTACGAAGTTAAGGCACAACAACCTGAATTTCAGAAAAGAACCTGAGTTCAGTTTAGAGATGGAAACAGTTAAATACCAGAACTTGACCAATTAAGATGGACTCCTTGTTGCAGAAGGGACAGACAGAAAGGAGACAGAGCACGAGTCTCCCCATTTGCATGAGACAAGCGAGAAATGACAGTGGAGCAGTTTTGCCGTGCTGCAAGTTAGAAACAGGGAAATCAGTTGCAAAACACTGAGACTAATAGGACATAACAATGTGTGTTCAGAGTGTAGAGAGTAATCATCAAAAAAGAAACAGAAATCATGGGAGCGATGCAAAGTCCAACAAGTGGTGATCTGGAATGGGCAATATTTAAAGAGTAGGCAGGCATCTGGGTGTTCTGCCAGAATTTGGGAAAAGACCAGCAAGATAAGCAGAGGCTTGGTTTTAGCAGAAACATATCTCCTGAGAAAGTAAAAATGAGCTTATACTGAGAGAGTAAAAATCTACCCACCTTTTATCAGACTGGATTAACAGTCAGCTATGAACTTAATAGAAAATTATCTCTCTCTCAAGAACACGGAAGCTGTAGAATATCATAAGAACCCCCTACTCTGAATGACTACTGCTTTATTAATCACTGAAGAAATTTATTCTCTAATATTATATATTATCAGAGATCATGCTGTTTAAAATGATATCAGTAAAAATAAAACACCCCACTCTACCAGAAAGGGATTTTTAGGAAGGCCTAAGGCACTTCCGACACAGAGAATCAGTCTCAATTTACAACCCAGGTACAGAGTTTCAGATAAGAGGTCTCTGGCTACAACAGTCCACATCTATCTTAACTTTGCACTTTATAAGGACAATAAGGACATAGGAGCCTGGGTCTACTTCACAATCCAAACTTGGTGTTGACCCCTTTAGCCACAGTCCGATTTTGCTTTGAGCTTCTCAAACTTCATTTAAATACCGCCCTTTCCTAAAATCAAAATCCTACAGCAGTTTTATCTTTTCCTTTGTTTGCTGAGACACCCAAGGTTGCTCTGGTGTGTGGTCTCCTTCCTTGTGTTGGATCAGTAAGCCTGATTATGCCAGACAACAGGTTTGCTCCTGGTCATCTCAGGCTGATGGGGGTGGGACAATTCCAATCAGTATACGTGAATGAGATGAGGAAGCCACGCAGAAACCCAGTGAGAAAGGTCAAAGAGGATCGTCGCCTGGGGAAAAGGTAAGAGTCCACTTACCAGAACAGGATTTTTTAGAATAAAACAAGAAGTTAATGTGCTTCGATGCCAAGCCTAGGTGTTGGTCTGTCGCAGCTTGAGTATCTTTGTTGCAGTTCACATCTGCCTGAGGACAGGGAGATGGAGTTAGGATGGTGAGGAAAGATTCAGTGGTTTCAACTGAGAAAAGTGCTAGGGAGGCAGGAGCTGGGACCCAACTCCTTGAAACCTGGGAGCAGATGAAAGGGCCAGTGATGGAAGCTCAAAAGAGCAGTCCCTGACTAGGGGCTTTGCCTGGGGCCTCACACAGGGAGGTGACAGGGAATTAAACTGTACAAAAGACAAGCGTTTCTCCCCATGGATATTTCTTTATCTTTTTGAAGGGGGGTGGGGGAACTAGGGAGGAAAAGAAGGAAAGAGTAGAGGAGAGAGGGGGATAGCCAGTGGCAAAGCCTAAGAAAATGGACTTGGAAGGGAAGCACCTTGTGGTAAAGTGCTCTGTAAGGCAGTGCTTTGTGCTCGAGCTGGGACTGTGCCAACTAATGGAAAACACGCTTAAAGTGTTGGCGAATTTTAGACTTTATACCATTTTGCTGAGCTACATGCGTACCTTGTAGGAATTGACTTTTTTTCCCCCTTTTTCTTAGCATATGAACCCAAAATCCCTGTTCAGAGTAGAGCTCTTGGGAACATTGTGTTGTTGACTTGTTTCATTCTCTAGAGGATTTGTTTGCAAGCCGCAGTGAATGGATCACTGTGAGAACACAATGATATTTTTATCTGTGACTGAACTATTCTATTCTGTTCCTGCTCCTTTTGGGGAGAGGAAAATAATTCCTAGTTATTTTGGTCTAAAGTTTTTCAAAACTTCCATTACAGACCATAAAGCAAGTTGGAATTATGGGAAATTCCTTTCCAGTTAATAGCTTTAAATGTATTTATATGGCGAGGTATGACTCTCCAAAGGTTATATTTTTATAATCTATTTTAAGAAATAGATTTTATAACAATAGTAATAACAACAAATAAAAACCCTTACTACCTTTCCTGATTTATGGAAGGAATTCCTGGGTCAGGTGGGAAGGATAAGACGGCCTCTGAGAGGCAGTTTTAAGATCATGCGTTTTCAGTCATATCTGGAGTAGCCCAAGCAACCCAAAAGAAATCTTGAATTCTCAACAAACCCACCAGCACTACCATGATAGTCTCTTCTTCAGAAGATGACAGTATTACCTCAGCTCTTTTACTGTAGCACAAATAAATCCAGAAACCCATCCCCACCACCAAATTCCCCTACCCCTCCACACGCACACATGCCACTATTTGTTTCTGTGTTTAGTAGACTTCCATGTGTTTTTAAAAAGAGGACAAATGTGCTTATATGTGCATAGAAAACTTCTGGAAAGTTCCACAGGATTTTAGTAATGGGAATTGCCTCTAAGGAAGATGGGATGGTGATGTAATATTTTTGTATACATTTTCATAGTGTTTGAATTTTTTATTTTGTGTACATACGTATATTCCTTTTTTGATTAAAATAGCTAATTTTAAAAAATGTGAGGAGGGAGTAAGTACTTGCAAACTCATTAAGATGAAGGGAGTTTTCCTTGTGAACAGTCATATAAATAGATGTTTATTATAATATCAAAATTTATTCTCTCTCTCACTTACATATTTTGTACAATTTACAGAGTTTCACATCCATTGCCTGACTTAGTGCTCATGACAACCTTTTGAAATAGATGGGAAAGCCACTGAAAGCCATACTTTATAAATTTTTTAAAAACCTGAAGGTAAAAGACTTAAAAATTTAGAGCATATTTTTATGAAAGAAGTTTCAAGTCATTTACATGATTGTGACATATTGAAACCTGAAATTTTACAGTATTTTGAGTTACCAAGTAGTTTGTAAATAGCAGTATTTTTAACACCTTTAGCAATATTCCTTGTAAGATGGATCTCTTAACTAAGAAATTCTTGCATAAAGGAGGAATAAGGCAGAAAAAACAACCTGAAACTCTTTGTGTAAAATACGGCTAATATTAGAACATAAATTATCAACTAATGATTGGTTGAAAATTAACATTAAAGAAGTTGTACCTAGAGAGTCTGGTCAAGATGGCAGAGTAAGTAAACATTGTGCTTGCCTCCTCCCATGACCACATTAAAATTACAACTAAATTATAGAATGATCAACCTGGAGAACCATTTGAAGACTAGTTGAACAGAAGTCCTATAACTAAAGATATGAAGAAGAAGCCATATCAAGACCGAAAAAAAAGTTGTGCCCAAAATTTTGTTGTATAGATTTTTACCTTTGAACTAGAACAAATCTATAATAATTACCTAAGTGGAAAAAGAGAGAAATGACAAATCACTACTAAACTTTGGAAAATATACCCTAAAGGTTTATGGCTATGGTCATTGTATCTCCCAGTGTCCTGGACAATCCCAATTTATACCTCCTGTCCCTGAGTAATTATTGATAGCACCTCTTTCACTCTCAAAAGTATCCTAGTTTGGGTGATAAATTATATCTCCACCTTATTAAATATCTCACTCTAGTCACATGTATCTTCAAGATCCTCATGTTCTAGCATTTGGGCTTCATCCCAAAACTAAGAATTACCTTCATTCATGCAAAAACCTGAAGAGTCCAATCTCGGCTTTTAGCTGTTTATATGATTCTCAAATAAAAAGAGTAGTTTCCAAGCATTATCCACCAGAAACTGTTGACTTTATTAAAGAGATTAATAGAGAGAAGGGAGTCTCAGGGTCTAATTTGGAAGTTTTGGCTTGAAATTGGGGCTTTAAAAGGGAAATGTGAACCAAGTTTGGCTTGGTGAGACTGAAGTGGAAGACAAGTAACTGATTTCACTTAACAGAGTTCTGAATATAAAGTTCAAAAAGTGAACCTTCCCAAGAGTCCTTCATCCATGTAATTCCTTTATTTATTAGTATTGGTGAGTAGCTACTTGAGGCCAGACGCTGTTCTAAAACACTGCATCAGTTTTGCCAGTAGTTTAGGGACTTTATGCTAAATTTCCAGTGGTTTGCTAGACATCAGATTTTGTTGTGTAAACCAGTCTCTGAATTCCTCTAACACTCTTTAAAATTTCCCTAATTTGGAATTACTCTATTCAGTAATTACAAAGATTACTCCCATGGTCCAAATAGGTTAAATTATTGCTGCTTTTTTTCGTGTTACAAGTCCTTCCTTAGAACAAACAAATGAATTAGCAGCTAAACTGAATATCACAGTAACAGCAGTAAACAGACCATCTAATCAAAATATATGATTACTGGAAAGATTAAGGCAAAGCCACCGGTTGCTTATAACAACTGTTTACTTGCTACATTCTCTAAAGCACTTGGTATCTTAATTGAAGTTATCCCGTAGTATGTGATTACTTGAGGTTTCTATGTAAAGTATTAAAGAATATTTTAACTGTTCTTTTATGTTTAGGTTTACGCTTTTAACAAACTCGTTTCAGGATATGTTTTAACACGCATGTACCAAAGGTCATGCATTCTGATTCTCTCACTGAGGGAGTTGAGACTTGGTTCTGAATAATCAGTTTGACTTAATTCCCCTTGTTTTCTGTAGATGTTTACATGTGTTTTGTTTATTTCTCCCCTTCCCTTGCTTTTTTTAGAAATATTTATTTCCTATCACTCGCCGAACTTTGCACAAAAGGAATCTTGTGGTGTGTTCTTTTGTTCTAATCATCACTGGTTGAGTGATTACTGTCACTGCCTTTACTGTCACTATCACTGTCACTATCATTTCCGTTGTTGCCATTGCCAGACTTGCTTTTGCTGTCACTCTCATCGCTACTGTCAGATGCACTATCGCTGCTTTTGTTGCTGTCACTGTCACTGCTATTGCTGCTGTCACTGTCACTGTTGTTGCTATTGCTGCTGTCACTATTGTCACTGCTGTCACTGCTGTCACTACTGTCACTGCTGTCACTGCTGTCACTGCTGTCACTGCTGTCACTGCTGTCACTGCTGTCACTGCTGTCACTGCTGTCACTGCTGTCACTGCTGTCACTGCTGTCACTGCTGTCACTGCTGTCACTGCTGTCACTGCTGTCACTGCTGTCACTGCTGTCACTGCTGTCACTGCTGTCACTGCTGTCACTGCTGTCACTGCTGTCACTGCTGTCACTGCTGTCACTGCTGTCACTGCTGTCACTGCTGTCACTGCTGTCACTGCTGTCACTGCTGTCACTGCTGTCACTGCTGTCACTGCTGTCACTGCTGTCACTGCTGTCACTGCTGTCACTGCTGTCACTGCTGTCACTGCTGTCACTGCTGTCACTGCTGTCACTGCTGTCACTGCTGTCACTGCTGTCACTGCTGTCACTGCTGTCACTGCTGTCACTGCTGTCACTGCTGTCACTGCTGTCACTGCTGTCACTGCTGTCACTGCTGTCACTGCTGTCACTGCTGTCACTGCTGTCACTGCTGTCACTGCTGTCACTGCTGTCACTGCTGTCACTGCTGTCACTGCTGTCACTGCTGTCACTGCTGTCACTGCTGTCACTGCTGTCACTGCTGTCACTGCTGTCACTGCTGTCACTGCTGTCACTGCTGTCACTGCTGTCACTGCTGTCACTGCTGTCACTGCTGTCACTGCTGTCACTGCTGTCACTGCTGTCACTGCTGTCACTGCTGTCACTGCTGTCACTGCTGTCACTGCTGTCACTGCTGTCACTGCTGTCACTGCTGTCACTGCTGTCACTGCTGTCACTGCTGTCACTGCTGTCACTGCTGTCACTGCTGTCACTGCTGTCACTGCTGTCACTGCTGTCACTATTGTCACTGCTGTCACTGCTGTTGCTGCTGTCACTACTATCTGATTTGCTGTCACTGCTGTCACTGTTGTCACTACTGTTGCTGTTGTCACTGCTGTCACTGCTGTCACTACTGTTGCTGCTGTCGCTACTATCTGATTTGCTGTCACTGTCACTGCTGTCACTACTGTCACTGCTGTCACTACTGTCACTGCTGTCACTGCTGTCACTGTTATCACTGCTTTCACTACTGTCACTGATATCTGATTTATCATTGCTGCTGGTTGATTTGCCATTATTATCACTCCCATTGTTACCATTGCCATTACTGTCACTATCATTAGTATCTGATGTGCTATCACTGTCGTCATCTTCTCCTTTTGAGCCACTGTCATTACCATTATCTTTTGATTCATCAGAGTTATAAGAAGCATCTCCTTGGCTACTGCTGTTATTGTCACTATCAGAATTGGTATCGTCATTGCCATTAGACTCAACACTGCTATTGGGATCATCTCCTTGCATGGATTCATCATCAAACTCATAACTATCATACCCATCACTATTACTTTCACTACCTATTTTGCTGTGTCCAACCTTATTTACAGGTTCTAATTTCTGGCCAGGTCCTTGCATGTTGTTAACCTCCTCTTGTATCTTGATATTTCCTTTGCCCACAATGATTTTATGTTGTCCTTTACTCTCCTTATCTTTGTTGACTATCCCGGTTTCTTTGGTAATGTTGTTCCTGTTGCCATTGCTGAGATCTTGAGTTTCTATTCCCTATGGAAGAATAGGATAAAGAATGAATGTTATGCTACAAAATTGCATTGGTCTGAGGAAAACCGACAGGGAAAAGGGACCAGAGAAACAGGAGTCCAGCTTCCAGTACTTCAGAAACATTTGTTTGTGAAAATGTTTTATTTAGTACTTGAAAGTGCTCTAGTGTTTAGATTATTTAACAATCTATCTGTGTTTTTACTCAGTAGAAATTTTTGTAAACTGTTACACGGGGTAGCTATTATTTAGCATAAGACTTTTCCAGAATTGTAACCAAATTTTCAAAAATATCTGATTTTTAAAATTTTTCTATATCAAAGTCTAGTAAGGGTTCCAGCTTTCCCATTAAATACTCAAGTAACTGAGGTGCAAAAATACATGAATGCAAGTCGTGATTTATTCTTGGGCTACTACTATCAAGTGGTGGGGAAAATTTAAACTGCCATTGAAAGAAATCAGCTTCGCAAACTAACCTTGTCTTGGCTCTTCCCATTTGTACTTGGTTCTGAATCTTTGTTGATTCCATTTTCCACACCACTGTTTTCTTTGTGATTGGGTTTTTGGGTGTCTTCTATTCTTTGGCTGTCAGTGTCTTCTGGAATTCCGCCAGAATCCTCCTCACTCTTGGAGGCATCGTTTCCATCCATGCCATGCAGATCTTCTTTGTGTTCAGGGTCATCAGCTTCACTACTAATTGAATCTTGCCTTAAACTGTTGTCATCATCATCTTCTTTTCTGTGACCTTGACCCTCCTGGGCCTTGTTGTTATCAGTGCCCTCTTTTCCATTTTCAGTTCCTTCACCGTCATCATCACCAGAGCCCTTGTCTTCATCCTCATCTGCTCCATCCCCACTAGGAATCCCATCAGAATTATCCAGGCCAGCATCTTCTCTATTGCCAGCTCCACTTCCCCTTGGCATTACTCCCGCTTCGTTATTGTTATTTCCCTCACTTGCTCTCTGAGGTGTTATTTCACTAGTATCACACTCATTTCTACAGGAATTCCCATTAATTCCATCCTCATGGCCTGTACTGCTATTGCTTCCAGCTACTTGATGTTTATCTTCTTTGACAACAGTGGAATCCTCACTCTGACTCACATCTCCAACATCCTCAGTTTTTGAATCCTTATCAGTATTTCCATTAGTATTGCTCCCATTTTCTGCTCCAGTATTGTTGATAATGCTTACTTCTCTCCTGATGCCATGTGCTGAGGTGCTGTCTTCTTTTCCATGTATCCCATCATGACCATATGTTTCCAATTTTCCTGTGCTCCCATTCTGATCCTCAGGATTCCTCTCTTCATTTATTAAGTTGGAATGTGTAGAAAAACTTTTCTCTTCTATTTCCGCCCACTCAGAGCCATTTCTCTCTCCTTTGTAACCATCTTTGGTATACTGTTGCCTTCCTATTTCATTTTCATGCATGGGGACACCAATTTCTTTAGTAGAATAATTGGCATTTAACTCATTCTGAAAAAGAAACAATTCAAAATTAATTGTGGTTATCATCTTGAAGTAATGCAAGCTGAAAAGAAGAGTGTAAAATTTTGGAAGTTAATGGAATCTAAAAACACCTTAGAAATACATTTTATATCCTATACCTGTATTGGCACTTTTGATTTTGCTAGAAGATTTAAATTCACAGATTTGTCAACAGCATATCTCTCCAATGGCTTGATTTGAGGAACCTACCAAAGTGAAAATATTGGAAATTGAAAACATTTTTATTTTGTGTACATGCACACACGCAGTTTTTCATATATATATATATAACACGAAGGCCAAAGTATGATCTAATCAGGTAGAAAAAAAGAAGTGACTTTTTACAGGGCTTATATGGAATTTAAACTGGGCACACAGATATTTTTCACAATGGTATTACTAATTTTATTGAAGAATTAACCATAACATTTATCTCAACAATAAAAGGGGAATAGTCTTTTTTAAAGATGAGTAAAGATAGCACAAGACTCACCCCAATTATAATCCTGGCCAAAATCCCTAAGAAAATAGTTGGTCTGACCAGAGGCAGCACAGAATCAAAATCAAGTAATAGGCTACTTTTGTGCTCTTCAGCAGCACATTTGAAATGGCTGAGGAAATTCCCAATTACAAAAATATCAAATTGTTTGCTATTATGAAAATATATCAAAATGTTAATCATAACAGCTAGCTAATAAAATTACAAATGGTTTAATTTTTTGGGTGGGTGTTTATCTGTATATTCCAATTTTTCCACAGCAAGCATATAAAACATAATTCTCTGAGTGTAAGTTTTCTTCTATGTTGAAAAAATTCTATTTTTTCCTATTTTTCTTTCTTGAAAACTTCCTAAATAATACAGCCTTTATTGATATTAGAATGAAATTAATAGAGCATGAATGAAGATGAAAAGTCTCCATGACTTCTGGGCACTGAATGTAAATTAATCTGAACAGATTTTTAAAATAATTATCCTTCTGACTAGCATGAGTTTTCATTGGAGGAATAGGAGCACGAATTAAGAGTCACGTTTGGTTTTGTTGAGATCTCAGAGAATTCTTGTCAAGTCTTTCATGCAAATGTAAATGTTTAGGCTCAGCTTATTTGCAAAGCCTTAAGAATATATATATGTGTGTGTGCATGTAAATATATAATATATGTATTATATATATATATAAAGTGTAAAGTGTTAGGTGAGAAGAGATAGCAAAGTAAGGAGCTTTTCTGAGGAAGGCATACTTACCGGAATGGCCCATGATGCTGCCCAAATGCAAAAATATATAATTATCTTCATTTTCTTTAGGAATATTAATCAATGGCTGTTTTTTAAAAAAGAACAACACAACATTATAAAGCAAAAGATGACAACCACAGTAAGATATTATTTTGATCTGTAAGCATTTGTATTTTTCCTGGGCAAGGAGGATATATACAACATGAGAAGGTGCCTGTCAGGACTCAGTGTTCTAGAACATACCTGGAGCAGTCACAAGGATATACGAGGTATCATCAAGCTCAGCATCAGTATAGCTACCTGGACCTTTTCTGCCTCTGCCAGTAAAGGGAAACAGCCACATAGGCACAAAAGAAAAACCACAACTTTGTCCTTCTGCTCTTCTTGATGGTAATAATAGCTCTCTCTTCTAAATAGTTTTAACCAAGCATTAATTAATTGTGCTAAGATCATGCTTAAAAGATGAAGCACTTATCATTCCCACCCAAAATCCATATATTGTGCTATTCTAGACTGTAAGGGAAAGACTTGAGGGAGCCTAGGCTAGTGGAGTTTAGATTCTGAGAACTGGATTCAAATTCTACATTTGCTACTTGATGTGTGAGCTTGAGAAACTTCACTTTATTAAGCTTTTGTTTTCTCTGTCTGGGCTAATAATAATGCCTGCACTTCTGGAGTACCCCAATTATCTTAGCAGAAAAATATTGTCTGAGAAGGCTTCTCTGGCTCTACTTCATTCAGATGGTATTCAGTGTCTCTCTTCTTTTTATACCCAGCAGCTTCGGCCCACCTCGCTGGTAGCACACTGTACTGTTTTAAAACAGTCCAGTTACTTATACATTTCTCTGCCCTTGTGAGAGCTCCTGAAACCCAGGAGAATGTCTTGGTGATCATCGTATTCCAACACATAGCACAGAAAAAGGTATTTTATGAATGTTGTTAATGAATAAATATTTATTAGTATAAGCAATATCTGGCACTGTCCTGGGTATTTAGCAATCTCTTAATAAATGATAGCAATTATTATGTGGGACTTCTAAAAATATGATCTGTTATTCCTGTTAGAATAACACACTCAAAAATGTTCTAATATATATTTTTGGTACATTGGAATAGACAGTATAGTCCATGTGAATAAAAAATTTGAATTCCTATTTACCGTAAATTGAATTTCTTGATATAATGATACTATTACTATAAAAAGGAAGGGAGAGTTTTACTCCTATTTTATAGACTCCCATTGGATTTATAGATCATAATGCTTGCTGCAGGTCATAAAGTAGCCTTTAACAAATTTAATGTTGATAGTGGAAACATAATAAAACCTCAGAGAATATCAACTGCCATGGGATTATTGGCATTTCTCCACAGGAAAGAGGACACAGTTCTAGAGCTACTGAGAGAGAAAAAAGTGCTTACTCTTATAACTGCTCAGCAGAATGCCAAGACCTCCTTCCAAAATGCTATAGATTAAAAACAAGGCTGAGGTGACCTCAGGACAAGTATAATGCAGAGATCTGGGCATAGATGCTGAAGAGTAGCTATTCAGGTAGCAGGGATTATATTGTACTTTGCAGTCTCAAACCTAACTATTACACAGACTTGGCAGAAGGCTAGTGTCCACTGTGATTTGGAGGAGCCATGGTGTCCTGGAAAGGTACCTATATTGAAGGCCAGGGTTATGCACAGCCCATGTCTAAACTGCAATCCAGAAATCTGACCACATTAGCTCCCTTTCACATCCACTCCAGAACAATTACATGGTGCATGATGATGTTTGCCATTGTTTCCACAGGTAGATAACTGGCTTGAAAGGCTGCTATAGAAATGGCCTCAATTTTGTCAGCCTGAAAAAAGAGGCTTAAGAAATTGCATGAAGCTTCTTCAGATTATTTCATGTATTGTCATAAATAAAACAAGATTTAGCAATTACTTAATTTGGAGGAATAAATAATAAAACAGTGAAAAGCAATGCCTTATTAAAGCCATTTGAAAGCCCAAGATGGATTTTTAAAATCCCAGTTGTCTAATATTTTTATCAAAAGTAACCAAAGCAACCAGATAATTATCAAATTTCCACCTCTGTTTGCCAACTTTTAGTAACATGTCTTTGTTTTTTCAAACCTATTATTATATTATAAAGTGGAAAAGGAGTGTGACAGAAGTCAGAATCTGTAGCTGTTTAATATAGCTTTTAAAACCTTAATGTTTAATTGGCAAAAAAAAATTTTTTTCGAGGTCAAAGGTTGATTTTTCAAGGACCAAAAAATTAAATATAAACTAAGATTCACTCATCCAACAAATATTTGAAGGCCTAATGTGGGCCAGATACTGAGCTCTGGAAAGAGACATGAGCCCTATCCTCACAGAGCTTATCACTGAGTGAATTAGTCAGACTTTGAAATAAATGTTAACATAATGTGTTAAATCAAATTCCCAAATTCATGTTTATTTCTTAATAGAGTTAGTGTTTAAATATTACTATTGTTACCATTTGAAGGAGAAAGAGATTGGTTTTTTTCCTCTCTCATTAAATCCCATCACATCTTACATTACAACGGTTAGGCTTAAATAAATGGCTTTAAATAGATTCAAGGTTCTTAAAAATGGTTTTTCTGAATAAAAATAACACTAATGAAACTTCAGTGGATTATACATAAATGATCTACCCATTCCATTGTTAATATTTTAGATTTAAAATATTTGTTTTATCTTACATATACTCTTTCTATTAGCAATTGATATTTTAATATACTAGCTATGAAAAGAAAAAAACAATTTTTCAGTGATATAATATTTTACCACGTAATTTTCCATTATCTTTTAATACAAACTCTTGATTTGACAAGTCAAAAAGGAAGGAAAAGCTAATCACACAGGGTTATTCACTTCTTAAAATCTAGTTGGCTTCTCCTCTAAAATTCAAATTTCTTCCTACAGGCATCTGTTGGTTCTGAGTAAAGAGAATGTTTCATCTTACCTTAAAAGCCTTCAAAGGGACTTTGAAAATCCAGGATTTCTTATCTTTTTCTTTGAAGACTGAGTGACACACTGTTCTGGACTTTTGCATGACAATTTTCTACCTGCCGAAATTTAAACTCAGTCTGATAATTTTCTCAACCAATCACTTTTTAGGATCCCTGATATAAGGTTCTAAAGTGTTACTGTGTCTACGAAGCACATAATAACTTCCTCTACTTCCTTCACTTGGTGATATGTATTTGCTCACCGAATCACTTGGTTCCAAAGAAACTAGACTTCACTTAATTAAATAGCTCTTGGGAGGCTGTTTTGCATCTTAAATATAGAGAATCAGTGTAACATATCTGAAAAGAGCCACTTAAACACTGTCACCCTGACATTTCTTGTCTTACCAAGGTTGGCAATCTAAGAAAACTCTAGGTTTCTTTAGTAAATATGACTGCCTATTTAAGACCTCTATCATTCCTGAGGTAGATATTAAAGTTTCTGTGCTATAATTCAAGAAACTGTCCACATGCAACAGCCTTGACATTGCTGGAGAGGTGTCTTTAACAAACTATAAATAGTAACTCTATGCAATCTCTCTGACCTGATGTGAAGTTTTAAAATGTATCAATTTAGGATTCAAACTATATTTTGAAAATAGATATTCAAAATACCAAAACTTATTGTAAGATAGTTAGATGTGCAAAAGTATGTACAGACAAAAAAATGAGCTTTCAATTGTCTCTTAGTTGTCTGTCAGCTATAGAGGACAAAATAGAAAACCAGACACATTTCTAGCAGAAAGTTTTGGTACCTGAACTCACCATTCTCTTGAACCCCAGACTTATCCTATAATTCAGGTAATCTCTAGACCATTTCTTCAATTTGTGAGTTCAAAAAACTTTACAATCTATGTCTCTTCATGAACTTGTTCAGAATTTGCAGGAATAGTCCACTCTTTTTGTATATTATAATACCAAAGGATGTGAACCATGTAAGACCACTAATATTCTGCTCTCCAACAGTAGTAACTACAGAATTCATATATAGGACTTATACAGGCAAAGCAGTAAGTTTGAAAGGGAGTGGGGAGAATAGAAAGAGAATTTGCCCTGAAGCTTTGTTTTCATAGCAAGGACTTTGTTTTTATTTAGACAGCATGTTTATGTGGGTGCCTTAAAGGACCTAAAAATGTTTTTGAGGAGTCTTAAGTCACTCTTGAGAGCATCACAACACCCTCACTCAAACAGACACCAGTGGAGGTTAGAGAATTGAACCTGTTTTCCTTTTCATTTAATTTGAATGAACATGAATTATAGACAGATTTTAATAATTGATAAAACTAGTAGACTGATAAATCAGTACAGATAAGATATAAAGAGAAATATCAACCAACTTGATCTAAATGACATTTATTGAACACTTATTCAACTATAGCAGAAGAAATATTCTTTTTAAAAATAGATGGAACATACTGCAAATTGGTACAGCCACTATAGAAAACAGTAAGGAGGTTCCTCAAAAAACTGAGAATTGACCTACTATATGATCCAGCAATCCCACTACTGGGTATTTACCCCAAAGACTTGAAAACTCATATCCAAAAAGATGTTTTCACACCAATATTCATAGCAGTATTATTTACAGTGGCCAGGACATGGAAGCAACTGAAGTGTCCTAGGACAACTGAAGTGTCCTAAAGAAACTGTGGCACATATATACAATGGAATATTACTCGACCATAAGAAGAGATGAAATACTGCCATTTGCGACAACATGGATGGACCTCGAGACAATCATGCTAAACGAAATAAGCCAGACTGAAAAAGTTGAAAATCACATGATATCACTTATATGTGGGATATAAACCTAAAAGCAACAAATGAACAGAACAAACCTTGGGAAATAGAGTCGACTAAATGGTTACCAGAGGGTAGAGGGTGGGGGAGGAGGGGGGAGATAGATGGATTAAAGGAGGTCAAATATAGGGGAGTAGGGGGAAGGTGATGTGGGTAAAGGGGATCAAATATATAGTAGCTGAAGGAAACTGGATTTTCGGTGGTAAACACATAATAGAATATACAGATTATATA